CTTAGATTATTCTCAGTCCAGTGCATTCAGAATAACAGTAAGAAAAATATGAGATAAGAGGTCACTTCAGGACAGATTTATGTATGTAGTTAAAATAATAACAAGAAAATGACTATCAGCAACTAACTGTATTCATTACAATTCCATATACGTATCTATTTTTAAGAGTGGAAACCTTAACTAGAAAGCACTAAGCACTGCTACTAAACTATATTATTGATTCACCAAAATTTTCTGGTCAGTGAATACTATTTTAGAACAAGAAGTTTAGCAAAATCTAAAGAAGTCAGGGTGCTTTTGTTGTTGTTTGTTTTGTTTTTGTTGTTACCTTTTATATATACCAGATGTAATATTCTAAAGACCTTTCAAAATTTACTTTCATACACTGCAAGATCTTCAAAACCTCAATACCTCTTTAAAAGAACCTCAGTACCTCTGTGCACTTTCTAAGAGATATATGGAACAGATTTGGAAAGGAGTTATACAAATGAGTTCATTAATCTCATATATCTAATACCAGCCATAGAAAAGCTACTTCTGATCAACTTTTTGTTTTCAAGTGTTTTGAAATGGTTTCACCTAATGACCTCGAGGGATTAAAAATCTGTCATCATATTCTTTTTTTAATGTACATCTTATGTTTCCTGGAAAGATGCTGGACCAACAGCACTACAAACTGATGTTCTTGAGCTATAGGCTGCACTCGTGCTGGTGACCTCCCAGCAGCTGTCTTCCCAAAGCATTCCTTCCCCACTCTGTCTGGGTGGCTTGGAAGCCACCACTCACTAAGCTCCCTGCAGAAGTTAGCAGTAAAAATATAATTTAATTCTGATTAAAATTTTTACGTATTTTTTTAAGCAAAAGTGACTGATATCCACTGTTAAAGGGGTGCTTCCCATTGAATACATTTGGTTAAGCTATACACATACATTTTTTCTGTGATCTTCTGTGGCATCCGATTTCACTGAGGTCACAGAGACATTGATGCTTGGTAAACTGCCAGTAACCAAAGGTTGTTAAGTGCTTGTCTCTTCCTTTCAAGCCTAGTCTATCTTTATCATGAAGATGACCTAGTTCAGCAGCTACAGTCCATTTATTTATAAACTGATAACACTCAGGAAGTATGCATTATATCACTAAAGTATCCACAATGTCGCAGAAACATTTGTTCTCAAATGATGTCATTTTCCTGAAATAAGGTCATGCCTTTGTACAACGCTGCTTCCCAACTCCTCTCCCTCTTATGCCCCTGCCAAGGGCTTCTACTTAGTTTGGATTTTGGAATAAGCACAGGGAAACACAAATGATTTGAGAGTTTTCATTGCACTTGGTGTTTATTCCACTTTTTCCAGTTGCTACCATCTGCAGCAGTAGTAGTTTGCTGACCTCTGAAAGAGTCAGAAAGCCTCAAGTGAGAAAAGTTTAGGGTAAGTGCTAATGAACTTTAAAGATACAAATATTTTTTGGGGTGTGTTGATTAAATTCCCATAAAACAATCAGCAGAAAAACTGAAGCTAATCACCAGCTGGAATTTCACTGAAATTATCAGTCAGTGCAACCCGTGCACTATGTAGTATTTTGTAAACACCTTTTTGTACAGAAATGTCATGGTCTTTGGAAGGAATGTGGACTGAAGTTAAACACTTCTGATTAAATATGGCAGGAAAATATATCTGTCCATCCTATCTTTTTACTTGCTCAGATGTCCACTGAGTGAAAAAAAAAGATATGGTTGTGGAAGACTTAAAGAAATTCTGAATGCTAAATTAGTCATGAAATGCTATTATCAGTGGAAAGCTTTAGAGAACTCTCAAGACAGAATTTAATTTAGAGGTAGGGATAATCGTTTATTATTCATAACACTTCCTGCTGAAGGAGTTCCATGCTTAGCAAGTCATAACCTTTTTGTGAATCCATCAGCCCAAATGCTACAGGAGCACAGCTCTGAAACTCAGTCCCTAGGGCCACCTTCTCTGCTCAGCAGGAGGATTACAGCTGCCTGTGAGAAGCTGCATAAGAGCTTTTTTCATATGTTTTTAAAAAGAGAAAAATGCTTAAACTGAAAACAGTGAAGTAACTGTCTTCTCTACTAGGCTATTGACTGCTATCTTTCTTTTCTTTTTTCCTGCGTTATAATAAATACCTGAAATCTCAGCCCATGAAGTGAGAACAAACCTCTCCTCGACCCATCTCTTGTCTCTTTCCACTGGTAATGTATACATACATGTGTGTGTATATATATATATATATATATGTATGTATGTGTGTGTGTATGCCACACTGTGGCAAGATATTAGATGTTTCTCAAGATCTGTACTTTCACATAAACATTATATTTCCAGATTAATCAAAAGCTGCTCACTGCTGACATGAAAAACTCTCATATCTCTTTTCTAATATTTTGCCTATAAAAACTGAAAACAATGCATAGAACAGAATTTTCCTAAACATCTGGATACCATTCAGATGGATTGTTATCTGACAGGGACTACCAGAGCTCACAATCACTGTTCAACTGAGTAATGGAAAGCTTTGCTTTGACAGTGCAGGATGCTGTGCAATATTAATTAATGAGGGTTGTAAAAGGCATAGAAGATCTCTGCCCTAGCAGCAGTATAGTTCCCATTAGACATTTCAAAGTCAGACCACCAAGATGCAGGCAGAGACTGAATGATATAACCCTACCAATCTGTGCATATTATAAATTGCTCAGCTGGTTTAGCAGTTCTCCTTTACCTCTCTATTTTGGGCATATGGGACTTCGACAGTTTAGGGCCAGTTTCAATCAGCAGCTTGAGGACTGAATTTACATTTTAGGTGCCCATTTTCTTCTTTACCCAAATTCTCATTTCTCACGTTCAGGCTGCAAATAAATGATGATGCTACAAGAACTGTATCTGTGAAGGCTGGCAGCCTTCAGTGCCCAGACTGCTTCTGTGTACTGACAGCAACCTAAATATCCCCACACATTAGTCTTTCTGCTTCTGTCCTTCAGTGCAGCATAATTAAATTAAAACGGTACCTAAGAAAATTCTTTTGCTTTAAAATCATAAAATGATGCCTATAGTTGTTTTTCTTAAATTAAAAGGCCTCTTCACTAACTTGCAGCAATTACTCAGTGTATGGATGCATCCAAGTGCATGCATCCTAAATGCTTCAGCATCTCATTCCCTTTCTAAAAAGTTCCTATAACCAACAATTTTAGGTTAACACAATTTTTAATCTGCAACTACAGGTGCTGTCATAAAATAGTGTACACTACCTGGTATGAGAAACATCCTTCAGATACAATCAACACTCTTTGAGCCTAAACGGAGAGTAAGGAGCAATAAACAAAACACATTTGCCCTTCTGCCTCAAAACATGATAGCTTATACAGCAGTATTTTGGCTAGTCAGCCATTTCTCCAGCAGTCAGACTGAGCAACTTAATTCCTTATGATATTTTTGGAAGCCGACGGCACTGTTACAACCACCTCTGGGGAATTTCATCTATCCACATTTATGGTGCTTTTGTCTGTAAAGGCCTTTTAAACAAAAGCAGTCCACATACTCATTTGATGCACATATACACATGCTCTCACCTTGAAAAATCCCAAACCGTTAGTTATGTCCACATATTAGCATTAATTGATTCCTTCTGAGAAGAGCCGTAGGCTTTTCAAATAAGTTTTAATGGCCTCACATGACAACAGCTCGATGGCTGTGAGGGACACCACGTGCCATAATGCCCATCAGTGTGAAAGTCTGTCTGAATCTGAATTGTATCTGTGCCTAAAGCACCAAAATACAGCCACGTGTAACTTGTTTCATTCCTCCTTTCCTCCACCATGAGATCTGCAGTATCATTCACTTGACAGCTTAGGTTCATGTGATCTCCATCACAGATTTCATCAAGAACTCTGAAACCACCCAACTCGCTTCAAGTCAAATTTTCTCTCCACTTATATCTGACAAGAACACCACATGATTTCTGCAAGATCTTTTAAGCTGCACTACAGAGAAACAGTGCTTTTTTAGGTGATGGCAGCGTACCAATGTTAATTTGACTAACCTAGTTCAGCATGCAGTATGCAATTATTTCCTGCTCTCATGATGATTTTTTTCAACCTATTTTTAACTTAATGTACACTTTGGTAAGGATTCTACCTTAGGAAAGATAGCTAGTCCACATGCCTTCTATTATGTTGCAGCTGCTTTTACATTTGTCACTGAAAGAACAATCTCACCATGTGTGACAATGGGATTTGAATCACAACTGCTAAATATACCACGTATAGAAATTTGATTGCTTTATGATTTTTTTTTTTTTCCCAACTGAAGGGAGAAATGTGAGGGCAAAACCTTACAGTTTATTTCATGCTTCACTACAGTGTAATTCTAGACCCTAAGATTTCTACCATTCCTATTTTGGTAATGAATGGAATGTAAAAGGGAGGTATTTAAAATTAATTGCAGCAGTTCTGAGGGTTAAACCTGCTTAACCCGACCTTTTATAATGAGAATATCAACAGAGCATATATCTTGTCTAGGGAGTGCTGGGACATCATTATTCTTCCAACAGCATGTTTAGTTCTAAAACCTGGGATTTCTTCAGGTTCCTGTAGCCGTCACGCACACCATACACCCGTCCCAAATCACAGCGTCTGTTCTGAACTACTCACTACAGCAGGATTAGACCTGAGAAACTCTAGAGTTTTGTTTTACTTTATTAACTTGGAGTACTTTCAAACAGTTTTTAAACAAAATTTTCCCTTGACCAGCAAGGGAATTTTCAGCCTGAAGTTCTCAGCAGCATCCGGTGAGGCTCCTAGCCAAGTTCTTCAGATACTGTACATCCTCAAGGACAGCCTGCTGGCTCTTGCTGGGGCATTTTCTTAATCCTTAGAGCAGACTTCCTGGATCTAGGAAATTTAATTCCTGACTCCTTCGACCCAGATGCTGGCGAAAACGTAGTCTGCAGGCTGTGTGTAACTGGGTGTGTTCATTTTTTAATTTTCCCTAGGAACTGGCCTTGCTGTTAAATTTTTCTAAAACAGTCATATTAATATGTTCAAAAACCCACTGTTGAGTTTCAGATAAAGGATCACATCTGTTCATGAAAATCTTCTTTTCAGATGGGTTGCAATCTATGCAGCTGCTGCTTACCGGATGGAACAAAGTTTTGTCCTACAGAAATGAGAAAAAAACAGAATTAAGTAGCAAACGCCAAGTAATTGGAAGCGTTCTCATTTTACTGAACATGGATTAACACAGTCGTATCTGAAATAATTTCGTATGCTCAGTGTGATAACCTTGTGCAACAACCACAGCTTAATTTAGAAACTTGTAGAGAATCTAGCACTTTTGTTCCTTCTGTTATTGTCCTTCAAAAAATCGAGGATTCAGGAAAGAATGAGACGACATCACCTTCTCTTTAGCTAATAACCATGTAATATAATGAAAAACGAGAATGCCTTTCTTTACATACCGTGTGCTTCCCTAGCCTCCAATTAAATGTCTGAACCCAATCATTTTTTTGAGAGGGGAGGTTGTTTTTCACAGTTTCTACTGTGCTGCTGGGTGAGAGGATCTGTAAAGATCTGTCTGAGAAATGGCTATTCTTTGACTCGATGAAGAAGTAAGTAACAATATTAATTGAAGTGCTGTGCTGGACAGACACGTAACTGATGATCTCAGTTCTCACCCCATAAAACGCAGATTTTGCCTGCAGCCTTGTAAGACAAGCCACTGAAATACTCGAGTTCTACTCCTAAGAAGGAAATTCTAATGCTGTTTTTAGATCCCTATGGAGATCTTGGGAGGATAAACACGGATTAAGTTGTTTTAAATAGGATATTCATGGTTTTTAGTTTTATTCATTTTATTTCACACACACACCAAAAAAATAAAAGGAATGAATTTTACATCATCCCACTGTGAATCTCTGGTAAAGCAGAAAGTACCAAGATGAGCAACAGGCATTTGTGGGTAGGCTAGTTTCAGTGTGTAGGCAAGTGGCCAAGAGATAGACATGGGAGTGATTAGATGGCTTGAAAGTTTCCAGTGGCTATATAATGCATTTACTGTATCTGTGGAAATAAACTTCTGATGACTCTCAGTAAACAACATCCAGGCTCTTCTCCTCCTTGCCAAACAAGCTCTGCCAGCTAATTCAGGATGTGCCTGTTTGCCCAGTTTGTAAGAAGGAATAAAAAAAGCTACTTGTCAAATTGCAAACTATTATAAACTCGCCAAAGTGCTCTGGGTGCTGAGCAACAATCATACAGAAACATCTTTAACAAAAATACCCCACCCTTCAGAAATAAAGTTATGAAGACAAAACTAAATATAACGTAATAATAGAAGTTATTTTAAAGCGAGGAAAGTTTTTTTTTTTTTTTTTTTTTTTTTTTTTTAATTAAGAAAGAGAAAATTGATTGTGGGATGTGTGAAACACTGGTAAAGCACTACTTTTATCTTTTCTTTTTTAATATTTAGTATATGCCACAGAGAGCAAATTCAAAAGTGTAGTGCTGTGCTCTACTGAAGGGTGATGGTGTTCTACCTGCCTTTCAAAAAAACTGGCTTTCACCCCAACTCTTCACCGTAAATGCATGCACCCACAAGAGAGTAATTCTGAGTGATGTGTTCAAAGCCTGCTAAAGGAATCAGCTTTGTATGGACAGGGAGACCAGAGGCCCTGCTCTGCTCTGTACAGGGAGCAGCTTGCGAACACAGGCAACATGCATGTGGGGCTGTCACATTCTATATAGCAGGAGACCCTACCAGAGCTCCCAAGAACCCATGGGATGTACCGTGGCTGCCCACCTGCTGTGGGGCCCTGTGGAAAGGGGACAGCTGGTTTTTCTCATGTTGTAGCTTGGGAAGGGCTCAGCCAAGCTACTGCAGAGCTAAAGCTGGAATGGTAGAAGCTTTAACACAGTAGCTGGTACAAGAAGAGAGGAAGCTGCTTGCTCTCAGTACAAAATGCATGCTATGAGAAACACACCAGCCTTCACAAAAGAGCCCACGGTCTGTCTTCTCACAGAAAAATCCAGGGGATGCAATACTTGAATGAAGCATTGTTGGTGCTTCTCTCAGCTGGTCTGGTTATTAGGAGAGAAGAGCATTTCTTAAGGAGAGGGACACAGTTACTGTGGGAAAACTTCTGGCTGCCTTAGCTATGTATAATGGCCTATTAATTTATCATCTCCAGCTTACACTGACCTAAGGTCAAAGCCTGAAGTTCTTATGGAACTCAATAAAAACAGGCTGAGGACTTCAATGGGTGACAGTTGCATGCACCCCAGAGAAGAACTTTCTGAGGGAAATATATAAATCCCTCCTTACACCAAGCCACAAGGACCCTTCTGGAGACTTTTCAAGCATCTGAAAAGAGCAGAGTGATATTTTTTTCTTCTGCATAAAGGCAAGTCTGAATACTATTTACAGAAGGAGAAACTTCTCCATAAGATAATGATTCTCGACAGTTCAGGGGATTGGTAATGAGACACAGAGCCTTTCATTTCTTCTAGGTCACTGCTATAACTATGGCCAAGGTCAACAGCAACTGGAAGTCATTATCAACCAGTGGCTGCAGTAGTTTATCTGAAATTAGTCGGTAGCCACAGTGCAGTTTCAGTAGGACAGATGTCCATATGATAAAAACCACTATCACAATGACATGTCTTTCATTGTCTGAGGGGATAATCTATGGACTCAGAAGGTAAAGAGTGAATTTTTACAGTTTGTCCCTGAAGCTGTCAGGAGAGTGTGAACAAATGACCCTATTCAGGGCACAGGTTTTGACGTTGCCAGTCTAGCTTCTATCACAGTCACTATGCTTAGGGTAGAATTATAGCATAATGAAATTGATTTTGCACAATTACAACCATTATTTTTTAAAGACCTACTAAATCAGCCCTCTCTTGAATACATGTGCTCAACAGATGAGACTAGGGCACATAAATTTAATCGTACTTTATCAGAACCAATGTATTACCTACCACTCCAGAGTGACACTATGCTGAAAAACAAGGGCATATTGCTTCACTGGGAGGAATGGAAATCTGTATCCACTGTTGATCTTTGGCTCTGACATGCTTAGAAATCATAAACACAGTCAAGGAAATGGCTTTCTCTTGGAAAGCTGTTATTCTCCAATATCTCTACTACTTTTAACATTTTCCCATTGCTCTCAGAATTGATTTCAAAGCCCCATTATGGCATCAACGCCTTTTTCCCCTATTATTTAACTCATTTCCTTTTTCTAACCCACAGTGTTGTTCACAATATTATTTGGATTCAGTCTACTTTATCACTTTTTACAGAGATTTCTTAAATGCAGACTTGGCTGTTTTATTACAGATGCCAAGTTTGAACTGGTCCTAAAAGTACTGATTACTCACTATCATAGACGTACTAGAATTTTAAACACTTACTCAGAGCTTGAGGATACAAATAATCTTGAGAAAGTAGCATAACCTATTAAAAAAACCTATTATCTTCTAGTTTTATATGACATTACATGAGAGTGTGATATGACAGTACAGTAAGAAATGCTTTCTATTCAGCATCTTATAAGACACTGACCAAACTCATTTTTCCTACAACGCTGATAAGATGGACACATGACCATTAGAAAGCTACAGCTTCTGTAAATGGTGCAAAGAACACAGCTGCTGATCTGGTCTTTGTTTCCTAAAAGCAAGCATTTCTTACTGAACCACAATCTATGACTGGTTTACTCAGAGTGCAATTTTAGTTGCATACCGTCCTCTTAGTAAAGAGCTCTGCTACAGCTGCAATTAAACTGATAGAAGTATCTTTTTGCTGTATGGTTTTCTTGTCTTTGGGAAACAGTATAAATCCTATTTCCAGGATGCTCTTAAAACTGAATAAGGATTATAACATGTTTTTTTTTTGGTATAGCTGTTCCACCACAAATTTCTACAGCAAATCTAACTCAATGAAACAAAACGTACTTAGTGGGCAGCCAAATTAAAACTAAGCCTAAGCAGTAATAATAATAATGAGCATATTTTCAATGTTCCAACACTTGTTTTTTTTAATTTGAAGTTTCATAGTTCAGCAGTAAGTGCTCATGCAAACTGATCAGCTTGCTGTCAGGTTACTATTACAGCTAGAACTGTGACAGTACTTTCATCATCACAAAACGTTGTGGTGCCTTTTGTTGAGATGAAAATGCCTGCCTTGTGTTGAGAATTTTTATATGAGCCCTGTCAACCTTCTGGAAATAAAAAATGAAGCTGTGCAGAGGATTTAATAGAACTCACGTTGTGCATTTTTTTTTTCCCTTCAAATGTCATTTCTTTGGGTTATCTGCTGCATTCTGTCCATATCAAAGGTGATGAGCCATATAGAGGGCAGCTCCAGATCTGCGTTTTCCTTATGAACCAGCTACATTAGGCACCAATGAAGTGCTAGGGGTATGAAAGCTTCTTTCGTGTGGCTTGGGCGATCAAAAAGATAAATTGGAAGTGTTCTGAAGCAAGAAGGGATTATAATGACATTATAAAGCCATATATGCAGCAATACAGCCACGACTATTTATGTCCTCTAAAGAGCCAGCTCACACTTTTTAACCTCACTACGAGTAGAATCTGAAGGAGAACATATTTCGAGATAATTCTGCGATACATCTTGGATTGCAACATAAATATGGTTAAAAAATGGCACAGGCTAACAAGTAGGTGCTCAAAATACTTGGGGAAAAGCTACTTTTAATAGTTCTGAACTATTTTCCTGCTTATAACTCTAATCTAGAAAGTACTATAGAGGCTTACTTAACATGGTCCAATTCCTGCCACCTAGGTCACAGCATAAGCAATGTAGGGGACAAGGCACAGTGGTTTTAGAAAATCAAAGGATGCATAAGAAGAAGTACTCAATTCATCACAGAAATGGATGTCCTTACCCTGCATGGAATAGTTTATTAGCAATTGTTTAATCAAGGCAACTTGCTGATTAATCATTCTTTAAAAAACCTGGCAGCATTACCAGGACTTTTTATACCCCAAATGAGGCATTCTCATTTCCTAGCTTGACCTCCTGTTCTAGTGATTGCTCAAAATGGGCAGAACTTGGCAGATCAAAGTAGTGTCTGAGCTGCTTATCTTTAATTTATAAACTCCCAATGTCTTCAGGCTTACAGCAAGTGCTTTTAATGTTGGTTTGGGGTTTTTTTGAGGTAGACATTCCTGCCACTTGTAAAAATGTAGTAAAATAGTAATATTTAACTCTTGAGCAGCATTTCTTCTTTCTGTCATGTCAGATGCAAATATTTTCAATAGTGCCTCACTTAAAATGACACCAGAATCTTCAAATGCCAGAATGATGTAACACCTTTCAGACACCCAACATGGACACACTCTGAGCTGGATTGGATCCACTTCCATTTAAATTTGACACAAGTAGCTGAATACTCAATGAGAACACACTCCAGAGAGTTTACTACAAAATTAAATTGGAATAAAACAGACTGGATTTTAAAAAGCAACTTATCTGAAGGGAAAGTACAAGTCTGCACTAGACTGAGTATAGGCTCAAGACAGTCTGAATCTCTGAAATGACCCAGAGTGACTCCGACCTTCCTATAGCTCCAGTGCTGGTTCCCCTTCATCCCATGACAGTCATACAGTGTGACAGGGCTACTGTGTGAGATGGCATCGAAGCAGAACTTCCTGGTGTGAAGTGGCTCCCCAGGACGGATGTCTTCTCTCCATCCGAAGGTGAACAGCTAGAAAAACAGTCAGACAACGCAATAGTTTATTACTAGTGGAAAACATTTCAAAAACAACACACACGAAATGATTTGTCTTCTTGCTGAGAAACCTGTGAGCTACAGGCAGCCTGTTAAAGCCGTTTTTCTGGCTGCCTGAGAGGAATTGTGGAGGCTCACAGTTAACAGAGGAATCCTTCTCAATCATGCGCCAGCTGTCTGAAATTATGCTGTGACACTGCAGTTGTTCAATCGTAAGAGAAAGGCGACAGGTCTGACAATACCAAATTTAAAGATACAGAATGCATTTTCCTTTCTATGGGCCAATCCTTGTAGAAAACAGGTTGCAGCTTGTACATTGCTGCCTACAAGCTCTGCTGAGAGCTGTGATGCTTTTTTTTTTTCTTTTTTTTTTATTTAATTCCTTTTTTTTTTTTTTTTTTTTTTTTTTTTTTTTTTTTTTTCTCTTTCCCCCCCATGTCAATGCTATTCCATGGCTTTCTGCTTGACTCTCGATTTTCCACAGTATAGACTGAAGCATAACACTGAGAAAGCTCTCTTTAAATGATCAAACTTTGCTACTGGAAATCATTTAGCTGTAACATTTCATGCAGAACTGCACGCAGGCTCATTATCTGAATAGCACTTCTACTCTATGCTGTCGTTAGCCTGCCTCCAGCACCTCAGCCACTGCACCCCAGGCAGCTGTTTCTCACCTGGCACCCTGCTCCACTGTGTCCATTTGCTGATATCGGAACCACTGTCTACAAATGCAAACTAAAGCTGAGTGTGATGGGAGTCTGATTTGGTACACTCCTGCTGTGCTTCTTAGATTCTGAACCTTTCACTGTGACAGCTATCTTCTCCCTGTGGTCTACCTAAAAGAGGCATCTTTCAAAAATGCTACATCTTCAGCACTGTACCACACTCCATAATACCACTATTGAGAGGCACTATTGCTTCCCATGGCCTGCAGGCACAGAATATAAGTATATATCTGAATATTTGCTGTTTTTCTCATGTCTCATTGTAAGCCCTTGTTCTGTCTGTGAGCATCTGTCATTCCCTATTTATTTCTGGTTTTCCAGTCAGCATTTTCTCAGTCTTCCCCCGTGCCCTGCTTATTTCTTCTTTTCCCCAGAGTGCCTTTTACATTTATCTGCTCTAAAATGCAATGGACAACTTCAACTACATTTTCAAACCAAATAGTTGCTTTTTAAAAGGTTAAGTCTTTCTCCATTTATCTTTATGTTTCCTGGAAGCAGCATCACACACTCCCTGCAAAACAGCTTATTTCACAACCAAACTCAGAGGTAAGATTTGATATATGAAAAAGCTACAACATTGCTTCTGCAAAAATAGAGAAGTTTGAGATGGTTTGCCTCTGAAGGAAAAAAAAGCAAAAGCAATTTCCTTTCTTTTGCTTTACTTTTCTGCAGCCAAGTAACAAACTTGGAGCTCAAAGTGATGAATAACGTACCTGGAGAAATGGTGTGGAACAGTGATTTTGCAATATTCTCACTCTCATGACTACTTTGCAAGATATCCTTTTGCAACACCTTTATCATCTTCCTCAGCAACTAACTCTCCAAATTTTTCATTCTGTGCACTACTGGTGAGCTGAGGGGCCATTCCTGTTGCTGCCTGGACCTTGTCCTGAGGACCACTGCCACACTGAATGCATCAGTATACCTGAAAGAGCTAAAGGTTGCTTTTAAATCAGATCAGACTGATCCAGGGTATCCTTTTGCCTTTCCCACTCCTGTGTGGTTTCCATTTGAAACCACTGTGTTCCATTCGAAAGTCAAGATTCTTGACTTGATACCAGATAGGGTGCTTTTTTTTTTTTTTTTTTTTTTTTTTTAAAGTTTCCTTCCACTGAAAATCATGATCTGTATAATAGTAGTTCTCACTGATTAGATGGCACAGATTCCTCCCCCTCCTTCTTAGGCTGCTGTTTCGTAAAACAGTTGCATTTAAAAATCAAGTATGTTCTTCCTAGTGATACAGTTACAAAATAAGTCTTGTAGGGGCAGAAACCAGTTTTTAGGACTAAGAGTGGAATCAAAAATAACTAATTGGAAAAAAAGATCATACTTTTCTATACATCCAACTGATACTAAGATGTACAGACAATATTAAAACTTGCAGGTAAGATTTGAAGGTCGACATCCTTCCAACCTCCCCACTCTATGATATCCTCCATAACATGGCAAATTCTGTCTACTTCAACACTAAACCTGGCCGATGTAAAAATGATCTTTCCTCTGTATAATGCATAGCAATGCTACATGTTAGTAGCTGTGGTCCTGACCCCAAAAGGCTCTGCTTCGCCACTATTTAATGTTTTGAATATTCCTTTGGATGTTAGGAACCAGCAGAGCCTGACTTCATGAGAAATGGATGAACCCAAATGAAGTAGTACACTTCATTTGCTCTCATTCATTCCCAGATATGAAACAAAGCTGCACAGAGATTTCCAAATACATTAGAATCAGGCAGCTGGCTTTCTCTTCACTTGAGGTCTCCAGGGCTGTTGTTTCGTGCTGAGTCCAAGACATTTTCTGTCCTTCTGGCTTCTTCCTTCCTTTCTCTTATTCTCCTACCAGACCCCCATCCTCTGAGTTCGCAACCAAGTAACCCTTTGGCCTGCATGCTTCAGCTTTTGATGAGGCCTGGCCCTCTCATAGGACTACTTGGAAAAAAGACAGCTTTTCAGCTGCCTTATCTTTTAAGAACAACTTAATTTCTAACTGGCACTAGGCCTGAAAAATGATTGCCAGATGCAGCCACTGGTTTGGGACTGTTTGCAGGACAAAGGCCCTTTTGAGACCATTAGTGCTGTCCAGCTTGACAACTTTATTCATTTACTCACTGCCTGTCTGGATCCCACTGTCAGTGGGCACTGTGCTCAGGCCACAGCACAAGATTGAAGCAGACATGTGTGCAACACAAAGCCAGCGTCATATTTGTGAGCTAGACTTTGACTTGAGTTACTTCTCTGAGCAGAAAAGAAAGAGCTGGGCAGGATGCACAGTTACAGTCTGGGCTGAGCTGGAGATGATGCCTGCCCACTTAATCCCTGGCCAGACTGGAGGACTTCAGAAGACAAAGAAGACTTTTACCATCACAACCTTGGCTGCTGTTTGATCTGCTTCATTTGCACCTGTTCCTGAGAAACAGAAATTAGCTCTGGCAAGAGAGGTGGAAGAAAGCCAAGATGCACCTCACTCGTGCCTTTTTTTTTTGTTCTGAAGAAGTTCCCAGAGAGTTCTTCTTTTTTTCCACCAGAAAATCTGCAAGTGGCCCATTGTCCTACTGTTAGTTTTTACAGCCCTGAGGTAGAAAGTCTTCTTCTCAGGGGCTGCTAAGAGGCTGGCAAGATTACACAAATCAAGTAGCACAGTGGGTCATCTCTGTCTAGTGGTATCATCAACACTAACACCTACTGCTTTCCTCATATCACATTTTTCTAAAGAATTCTCTGTTAATTTAGACCAGAATTTACAAGATCTGCTCCATGTCAGATCACACTAGTTGGAATATGATAATAAAATGCTCAATATTTTCATTAACTCTTTTGGTGTCTACCAGCATGTGGAGAAATCATATTAGTAACATGGCTGGAGTAGTGGAAAAGCAAGCGTTCACACCACTGCACACCATCACTCCATGGAGAAAAACATTGGAAGAGGCAGAGGGAAAGGATGTTACTTCATTTCTGGAAAAAATCCAAGCCCTGCATCACTAAAATGTTTTGCTCTACTGAAGTTAAAAATTTCTTTTCTACTGGAAAACTGAATTTTTTCCTCTGGATGATTTGCCCATGCTGTAATTCCTTTTGGGATAGAAATTCTGAGTTCCATCCAAGTCTGATATCTAGTTTGCTTCATCTTGAAGTTTGAGATTCTGCTTTAAAATCTGCACCTTGTACAGACTGATCCTTGAAACCTACCAGCCAGATGACTGTGTTCTGTACTTGGAGTATGAACACTTGAGTAAAATTTGCTTTGTATTGTTTCTAAACTAACCCATAAGCCAATGAATTATAATGAAATGATAGAACCTTCAAGATTATGAACATAAAATGTTACCCTGTGATACAGTAACAGACATTAGTCCAATCATCATTTTTCTACAACTTCTACTTTCTAGCTCTAGCAAATAAGGTCCCCTTCTAGGAGAAAGTGAAATCATGTTACTCTAATTTTGTTCAAAAGATTCTTCAGAGTTTCTTGTGCGAGTTCTAAGCTTTACACTGACAGGAAAATAGGTAAAGGCAGCCGCGCTCTGCTCAGTTGTAAGAGCAGCTTTTGAATGTGCTGCAGTCTCTGGGACAAAGAAAACCCTCACAACCTGCAGCACACCACAAACACAAACGAATCAAAACAACCTCCGTTTTGCCAACAGAAAACAGACTGTTCTGAGGATTAAACAGTATCTATCTATACTCCAAAGCAACAGTAAGATGATTTTTTTTTTTTTTTTTTTTTAAAGCGATTCTTTTTCACCCTCGGTCCGATCCCGTTTCAAGCCTTGAGAAGCTCTCAGAGACGCCCACTCTTCACCTTCCCCCGCCCGGTTGTGCTCAGCTTGTCCAGAGCTGCCCTCTGCCGCCTCTTTTCCGAATTACACTCTTAACACAGCAGCGCTTGGACAAGTGTGCGATAATTACTGAGCTGCTCAGCAAAAACGAATTCAGTGACCTGGCTTGGGCTTTGGTAGTCCCAATCCCACACAGCCACACCACAGTGCTCAGAGGAACGTCCCCTCGCTGTGCTCTGAACACTCCTCGTCCCCAAGGCTCCCCCCCCAGCCCCATGGAAACAACTGCTTTCATTAACAAAGCTTAATTCTACATATCTATCTCAGCATCCTATCGCCGTGCTTTATCTCTGTTAGCTACATGCAGAAGTCTTCTTTCAGCAGCTTCCTTCCCCTTGTGTTGGCACTTATCTAAATTGTGATCATTTTTAGCTCTTCAGTTTCGTTCACTTTCACACCTTCCCCTGCATTTCTGACTGTCCTTAGAGGAGGAATTTTTGACCTCAGCACTTCATGTATTCCTCAGAACTCCTCCTTCCCAAGCTTTTAATATCTTCAAAAATGCCATACTTGACAGTCAATTTTTTCTCCTTATCCTTGTGGGTTTTTCTCTAATCTGAGTCCGTTGCTGCGCAGAAGGCATGTTCATTAAAATTGTTACTAAATGGCCAGGTTGTACTTTCCATCCTGATTCTCAGGAACGTTGGCCAGAGCTAATTAGTCACAGTCTCTTTCCTATGCTACTCACAATCACAGCAAGTACAAATGAGAGCTCTTTTCCCCCCACTCTCCTGAGAAGTTATGTTTTTCTTCCTAACCAACCTAGATTAAAACATTTTTGAGCCTTTATCATCCCTCATGTTTGTGAAAGCCATTCTGGCTTTCACACTATTTATCTTGCTTATAGATCATATTAAAATACAACCACTTACTGTGTTTGCAGAGATGAAAGCAAAAAAGGAAACAATCAATAGATGCCCAGGTAGTATTTAAAATATTTTCAGTGAAGTGAACTGAACTCAATATGTTGTCATGACATACTGAGATAGAACTGGGGACCCAAAAGCTCTTTAAGAACTAGATTTCCTTTTGGAACTTTAAAAGGAAATGGCAAAGTTCTGAGGTTAGTTTAAAAAGAATACTTTTAAGAAGCTATTAAGGTCAGCAATCATTCAAAAATAATTTCTACATTTACCTTAAGCAAAGGAAGAAACTTCACATAAATGTTCAGAAGCTGGAAAAAAGAACCACTATTTTGCACTGCTTTTTTCTTTTAGCTGTTACAATACCTGTTCATGTGACCACGTCCGTTCTGAGCCATCCTTCACACAAATGTCTAGCCTCAGTTCAGTCCCTGTGGCTCCATGTTTGCTGTCCACACAGAGATTGGCTGCCACATTTCGAATCTGTAAGGTCAAGCATCAACATTTCACATCAAACCAGGCTGCAGAGCAGAGTCATCAAGATTATGGGGTTATGAATTTAGCCGTTGTAGAAACTGAGGGGCTTGAGATTCAGTTGCACAGAACTGGTTTTTACAGGGTATAACACCAGGTCTTGGAGTGATCTCTTCTTTTGAACAGCTTCAGAAGCAGCAGAGTTAGAAATACTCTGCTTAACAAATAAAAGGTAGGCCTGTATGAAATAGCCTCATGCAAAGAAACTAAGAGAAAAAAGGTGTGAAAGGTTCAAAGCTGAGTCTGGCGGTTTTTTCACCTCCTACTGAACCAAGTGAGATAATGGTATTATAAGGACACAATTTCCAAATGAGTCTCTCACAGGCTTCAAAGCAATATTGCTCTGAACACTCTGTCACAGTGCTTGTTCTTCCTCTAACAGTAATGTCAATGTAGGTAAAGTCACACAGCACTTTTCAAAAGGCATAAAATTAAAGAGTACTTATCATGCCCACCCACAGAGGTTCCTCATGCTGTCTGTATGCTTCTGCAAACAAACTGCAGTGGGACTTATTTTTAAAAGGAGGCTGAAACAACTGAGTAATAACCTGTGACTATCACTCACACCATTTATGCACCACGGCTCCTAAGGAGGTATTTCTGGAGGACTGGATTGAAAATGCATAGGCTGCCTTCTACTACTAAAGAGAGAAAAAAGCCATATTTATTTTGAAATATCACGTACGTTTCCCCTTGAATACCTTGGCTGAGCTGCTTAAAAATGCTTCAGACACTGCCAAAGCAAAGAGGATTTCTTAAACTTTCCATTCCAACGAGATGCACAGACAGTAAGTAACCAAAGCACATTCGTTATTCATTTGGCTGCACTTCAAGTGCCGTGTTCAGTTTTGGGCCTCTCATTACAAGAAAGACAACATGGCCCTGGAGCACATCCAGAGAAGGGCAACAAAACTGTGAGGGGTCAGGAGCACAAGTCTTACTGGGAACAGCTGAAGGAGCTGGGATTGTTTAGTCTGGAGAAGAGAAGGCTCGGGGAGACCTTACTGCTCCTACAAATCCTTCAAAGGAGATTGTGGCAAGGTGGGGTCAACTTCTGCTCCCACATAACTAGCGATGGGACAAGAGGGAATGGCCTCAAGTTGTGCTAGGGGATGTTCAGGTTGGATATTCAGAAAAATTTCTTCTCTGAAAGAGTGGTAGGCATTGGATTGGGCTGCCCAGGGATGTGGTGAGGTCATCGCCCCTGGAGGTGTTAAAAAAAAGTTTAGATGTGATACTAAGGAACACGGTTTAGTGGGAAATACTGGTGGTAGGTGGATGGCTGGACTAGATTATCTTGGAGGTCTTCTCCAATCTTAACGATTCTATGATTCATGAAGCTGTATACAGATTCTGGATGTGCAACAGACAGAAGGGAGGTGCACATTTTTGACATTCCTGCAACTACTTTGATCCTTATTTTAAGAAAAGAAAAGCTAGATGCTGAACAGAGCTGAGGAGAGATTTGCAATTTTCAATGGAAATATTTTTTTTTTAAACCAGTCATCATTGCCATATTATATTAGAGAAACATAAATATCGCTACTCTTAAATATGCCTTACCTCACAGAAAAGATAAACAAAACCAAAACAGGATGGAAGACATCTCATCACAGAAAAGAACACAGAGTACAACAGGGGTAAGCCTTGTGCTTGTAATACACATAGGAGAACTGCTTTGCTCTTTTTTATTATTATTTTGGAGAATTGGAATTTAGTCTATTCATCATGTTCTGAGAAAGATTTAGACAGATGGGAAAACAACAGGAACTGGAGGAAAAAAACAACCACCACAACATTACCTTCAGGAAAGGCTTTAGGAACTGCATTTGCTTAGCCTAGAAAGGAGCAGATTGAGCAAGCAATGTAAGTAGCAGTTTGAGCTTAAGAATTCTGAGCCTTCACCAGTGCTCACAGGCATATTCTTTCAAAACACTGACAAGCATAGTTCTAGGGCATTCTTTCTTATTTCAGTGCAATAAAATTGCTGCTAACCTGCCAGTACATACAGACAGATGCAGAAACCCAGCACTGAGCCCCACAGTAGAGTCACGTTAACTGAAAAAAGGATGAAAGGTAATAAGTCCTCAGTAACTCTCCATTTTCATATCATCCATCAGAAGATGGAGATAAGAACAATGAGTGGAAAAGACCTATTTTTTTTAACCTATTTTTTCTTAAGTGAAAAAATTTCTCCAAGGATTATTTGGACTCATTTCTGATCTCTAAAATCAAAGATCTCTAAAATGAAAGAAAATACACCCCACATCTAATGGGTGCTCATTGTATTAAAGGGCTGACATAATTTTGCCTAGATGACATTTCTCCATCCTGTTCTCATTCATTTGGATGTTGTGGTAAATGTATTCTAAGCATTTCTGGAAGGCTTTGAGCCAAAGCTACATTTAGGATATTCACTACTGGAATCCACTGCTTTTTTATTTCCTCTGTTCTTCCCTCTGCTCCTGAAAGGTTTTCTCAAGTTAGTTTTTGTTCTGGTTTGTTGCAGCCCACATGTTAATTCATTTTTTTGTTTTGTTTTATCCACCTTTTCAGCTGCAGAAGGGCAGTGGCTTGTTTCTCATTTTCTTTTTGTATTACAGGCATTTCAATAAAGTCTGTGCTTTTGTTCTCTGGCATTCCTGTGTGGCGTTGGCAGAAACTAGAAACTGAATTGTGCCATCAAACTGCTGCCAGAACCATGGGGAATGTTCTGCTGAACACCAACACTACGTTACCTACAAATCCCCTAAGATCCCTTCACAGAACAAGGAAGGAGAGCAGGATTGCAGCAAAGAGATGCTGTATTTTCACGTTTACATCAGTATGCATTTGAACTGCTTTGTCTCCAGTCACACCGCACAACGGATGTCAAATGTTTACGTTACAGCTAGAAACATAGCTAGCACTCCTAATAGACTCCCATTTCCAACATTTGTAGCTGGGCAATTGTGGAGACATTTCATCTCTCATGTAGTTCTTAAAATATTATCTGAACACACACACTGGGATGATGCTACTAAGAAAAGATTGTAGGCCCTATCTTCTTATAGAGAGCAATTCATGTGTTCAAGCACAGATTCTAAAGGGCTCGTAGTCTCTCTATTCTATAGGGAAGGGGTAAGGCCAAAGGTATAGAGAGTTTTTCAGTGCTGCACCTATGTTTGGGAAATAAAGACTTACCAAGTGAGAGACATTTCTGCTGTTGTAACATCCAATTTCTGCTTTTTAAATGAGGTAGCAAGCCGTTAGGAGAAAGGACTGCTTAAGTGTAGGTACAGTCCTTGGGGGTTATGAAAGTGAGTTAGACATTAAAACTACAGTTTCTTTTCTCAACGTAAGAAAAAAAAAAAAAAAAAATGTTCATGAAGAGTAGTCAAAGCCTGGAAAAAGCTCAACTACACTATAAAAGTAGAAAGGGGAATACATTAAACAGGAGCTGGGGCATTATAGGACAAAAGCTCTTTGAACCTAGGCTTTATGTTTGAAGAAGATATTTAAAGTTGTTGATTTGATAAATATTTCTACATTAACTTTTAGAAAAAAGAACAAAGGACTGACATACAAAAATATTTTTGGCAGATGTTGTCAGTAGCGTCATTCACACCTGATTATTAGTTCCTGTTAAAGTATTTCATTTTAAACTCAGGGTTTGCTTGCTTCCTTAAAGTATTGGTGTTTTTCAGAGATGCACAGAGAAACTTCTCTATACTTACACAGAGCAGAATATACTGTCTCCTAGATAACGTGACTGAGACAATTGTTTTTTTCAGAGTGCCTGGTATGACGCTATGCTTTTGTTCTAGGAGAAAAAAAAATGTTGATAGCACACCATGTTTATACTTATTGCTAAGCAGAGTTGTTCAGAAAAAAGGCTGTTCCAGTTTCTCAACCTGTATTAATGAAGGGCTAGGAGGAGTACCAAGAAAAGCAACAGCAAACAACCAGTTCTAAATAACCCAAAAAAAGGTGATAGTTAAAGAAAGATTTGCTTACCCATCCCAAAGAACTGGGCTTGCTGAATACTCGAAAATGAGAGATATCCAGATAGAGACACTTCCTTTGTGAGAGCCAGCCCTTAAATGAAGCCTAGAGAGGGGTGGAACCTGGTGAAATGCTTTCACCTGTGCTCCCAGGGCTGGTTCTGTCCCTTCACTAGGTGTTCAATGATTGGCTCAGACTGTGACTTAGTAATTCCCATACAAAGGGACAGAATCAGGACAGATGATTTAAACTGGCCAAAGGGATATCCCATGCTATATGACATCAAACAGAAAGAGAGTTTTGAAGGGGGTGGGAGTTCATCTCACTCTCTTCCACTGCTTGAGACAGGAGCAGGGCATTGACTGGGGAGTAGTGAGCAATTCATAAAATCATAGAATGGTTTGGGTTGTAAGGGACCCTTAAGATCATCTAGTTCCAACTCCTCTGATGTATGCAGGAACAGTTCCCTCTAGACCAGGTTGCTCAAAGCCCCATCCAGCCTGGCCTTGAGTGCTTCCAGGGAGGAGGCAACCAGTATCTCTCTGGGCATCCTGTTACAGTGCATCACTGCCCCCACAGTAAAGAATTTCTTTCCTATACTTAATGTAAATCTATCCTCTTCCAGTTTAAATCCATTTCTCTTCATTCATTGCTACATGATCTTATAAAAAGTCTCTTCCCAGCCTTCCTGTAGGCCCCCTTCAGGTACTGGAAAGCTACTATAATGTCCCCCTGAAGCCTTCTCTTCTCCAGGCTGAAGAGCTCCAACTCTCAGCCTTGCACCCTCCTTGTAGGGGAGGTGCTCCAACCCTCTCATCATCCTCATGGCTCTTCTCTGGACCTGCTCCAACAGCTCCACGTCTCTTTTGTGGCAGGGGCTTGAGAACTGGACTCTAGCTGGGGTCTCACAAGAGCAGACTTGAAAGGCAGGATCACCTTCCTCAACCATTACGCTTTTCTTGATGCAACCCAAGATACAGTTGGCCTTCTGACTGCAAGATCATATTGCTCATGCTGAGATTTTCATTAACTGATGCCCTCAAATCCTTTTCCTCAGAGCTGCTCTCAAGACATTCTCTGCACAGCCTGTGTTTGTGCTTAGGATGGGCTGGGCCCACCTCTCAAGCCTGTCCAGGTCCCTCTGGATAGCATATCTTCCCTCTTGCGAGACAAATGCACTACTCAGCTTGGTGTTGTCTGCAAACTTGTGAGGTTACACTCAATCACACTGTCTGTGTTGCCTACAAAGATGTTGGACAGAACTGGTCTCAGCACTGATCCCCAAGGAATGCCACTCATCACCAGTCTCTACTTGAACAAAGAGCCATTGACTGCAACTCTGAGTGTGACAATCCAGCCAATCCCTTATTCAGTGAGTGGTCCATCCATCAAATCAATTTTTCTCCAATTTGGTGATCAGGATATCACATGGGATGACTTAAAAAAAAAAAAAAAAAAGTCCAGGTAGGTGATGTCAGTTGCTCTTCCTTTATCTACTGATGCTGTAACTCCATCATAAAAGGTCACCAAGTTTGTTAGGCATAATTTGCCCCCAGTGAAGTTATGTTGGTAACCACTAATCACCCCAATTTGATTTTTCATGTGCTTTAGTAATGCCTTCAGAAAGATCTGCTGCACGATCTTGCCAGGCACAGCAGTGAGACTGACCTGTCTGACTGTCCCTGGATCATCTTCTTTTCCCTTCTTGAAAAATGGGGATTATGTTTCTGCTTTTCCAGTCAGTGGGAACTTCACTACATTGCCATGACCTTACAAATATGGTGGATAGCAGCTTGGCAACTTCATTCACCAGTTTCCTCAGAACATGTGGAAGAATCTTGTTGGATCCCATGGACTTGTGCACCTTCAGGTTCTTTAGACAGTCTTGAACCTGATCTTCACTTACAGCAGGCACACATACATTGTCCTAACTGTTATCCTTTTCCTTTTCTATATCTTAATAAATTATTTTATCTCAGCCCATGAGTTCTATATTTTTTTCCTCTTGATTCTCTCCTCCATTTCACTGGGGGGGGGAGAGCAAGCAAGTGACTGCATGTCAAATGACTGCATGCATGCTGAATCACCAGCCAGATTAAACCATAACTTTTGACCTACACTAAATTGACGTTAGAGTTTTGCAGAAAGTCAGGAGTTACGTGATTTCATCTACTCTCCAGAAGAGAGGCAGATTAAGATGGTCTGACTTCTTACACTGAAGAATGTAATAGTTCCTGCAAGGTTTGCCCTTGAGAGTATGGGTGATGCTCCGCCTGCCTTACAGCCCCACTGTAAGCTTAGGTCACCTCAGCCTTGAGGAAGGCAGGGGTTGAGTCACTCCCAGTAGCATGAGGGTCAACCGTGTGTTCGATGTGCCCTAACTAGACACACCAAAACCAAAAATGGTGAAGCAGAGCAATCTAAAGTTGTCTTAAAGTAATGAAGGAGGAGATGAAACTGCGGCTATCCTCACAGTGCCCAGTACAATGCAACAACATGAGAGGAACCTTGATGTTATCAGCTCATATAAACACTTTTCTTATATCTGACTCAATGCTGAAAATCAGAAAGTATCTGCAGCTCTTGGAAGACATTAACAACATCCATTTAAGTTGCTTTATTTGTCTGAGCAGCACTTAAAGATGATTTTAGTACATGCTTATGTTCTCAGATAACCCTAGGGCCATCAATGTTTACAGATCAAATGAGGAGAAATGAGCCACCTTTCCTGCCAACAGATACATGGCAATTTTAAATGGATTTATCATTTGTGTGAGCCATAAAAAGGAAAAGCTGAAGTTGAAAGAAGTCACGCACTGGTAAAGACATCCCTGAAGAAAGTAGGACTCGCTGTGCTGCATGACAGTGATCTTGACAGAAGAACTGTGAGAAACACAGCTGTGTGGCACTTGTTCTGTGTGCGATGGGGGAATAGCTGGTACAATGCCCATGTGACACTTGGTGGACTGGTACTGACTCATTAAGGCTATGAAAGTGAGACTTTAAAACCAAAAATAATCAGAGATTAGTGCATTCTTACGTTTTAAACCCTTTTCAAATATACTATTTGATTTAACTTCATGCATGACATTTTCAAGCCACGGCTGTAAAACAATTCTATAAAATCCATTAGGTCTGGACTGAAAAATGAGTATTTTCAGGTCCTATAGCTCAGAACTGCTGCAGTGACTTGCTTTGTATTAAATCATCAAATAAGAGGTTTATGCAACAACAAATGAAACCAAGCTTAAATATTTCCCTTTCGACTCAGTAAAACAAATCAATCTTTTCATATCACCCTGACAATAGGATTAGTAAAATCTAAAACAAATTACAATGGCTGACAGTGTATCATTGATTTACTGCAAAATAGGTTTCCAAAGATACTGTTAGAAGCTGTGCAACACACTTGCAGTGGCTTGTAGATTTAGGAGTACTTCCTAAGAAAACATTCAATGTACAAATCTCACCTAATGCAGCTATTGTTCTTAACTTCCTTCAGCAGGATTTCCAATACACATTACAAATAAATTATTGCACCTTTGAAAGAGAATGGAATGGTTATTACTGTTTTTCAGCTGGTAGCACACTTTCCAACATATTTTTAAGAAACAAAATCTAGTTTAAAATTTGCCTTTTTTTTCCCCATGGTGGGAGAGAAAACAGTACAGTAATCTTACCCAAAGAATTGATGATCACTAACCTTAATCTGTCTGGATTCATCATTGCATTGCCATGCTGCACATATTTCAGATGTTAGAAGGCAGAGCAAAATATAAAATGAAAGATACACCCTGCCAACTACAAAGGACAAAAGGCACAAACAAGAACAAGAGATAAGGTTGTGTTGAGGGTAGTGGAGACAACTAGTCCTGTTTCTCAGATTTACTTCTTCTCTATTGTGAATAGATTTTGAGAGATTTAGGTATCAGATTTTAAGAGAGTTTGCAGAAAGAGAGGAGTTACGCATAGGTTGTTTACCAGGTGTCTGATTTTACACCACATAGCTTCTACTATCTGTGCATCAAAATACTAGAGCACAAGAATGCCTGAGACCTCTTGTTTATTCTTCCTCAGACTGATACAAAGTCTTCCCAAGCGCAAGCAGAGAGAATACTAAATGGCAGTCAGCCTTGGCATAGACTTCTAGTGTGTTTAGTCAGCAAGGTTTTTAGAACTGCTTGATTCTTACAAAACAGTAACACACGTCTGTGTTCCTCTGTCTGTTTCTGGTTATGGTAGCCATTGACCTCCAAGTTTAAGTTCTTACCAAGAGTCAACAGATCAATTAAAGCTTCACAGGAATGTGATACTCCCAGGGAAAAATAGAGTGGTAGGACTGGAACTTCTCTTTTACATCAGAGAGAAACTATATTTGAGAGGAAACAAAGCCTTCAGTCTTCGTTTCCTTACTAAGAACTCAGTAAGTACTTTTAAGGTACAGATTAGTTACCACTGCTATGATGTACAATTTACTATCATGAACTCATGCTTTTATGCAAGGAATGCATCAATAATGATGTGAGCAGAATTAGTATCTGAATCCCAATTTCTTCTACTTAAATCCTGTCACTGAGAGAAGAACTGTTTGGCTGTCTATAGAAGTTATAGATCTCATGATCACAGTCCTTGAGGAATGCACATGTATGCATGTGGAAGACCATGAAAGCGGACATAGAAGGAATGACAACTCTGATCAAGCCTGGCTTCTACTGAGTATCTCCAGTAAATTGAGAAAGAACTCAGCACAGATATTCTTACGCTGTTTAAACAGCAGCAAAATACAGGAGGAAAGTCCTTCTTATAAATCTTAACAGATCAAGAGGAAAAAGATGTATAGGCACCACCTTCAAGATGCAATGAATCAGCAGCAGCTTCTAGGAGTAAAAGGCCACTGAGACTTCCAGTACAACTATGGAAGTCATTTCCTGCCCCTGCACTCTTTGTGTTTTCATTTTACCTACATAAAACAAACTGCCAAAAGAGGGTTTGCCATGTCTTCGCTCTTCAGAGAAGTCTGTAGGCAGATCTTAAGAGTATGGTTGGAGAGTTCCATGAGGCTGTTAGTTTGCTCACTGCTCAATGGATGCTCAGATGCTAGCTTCCCTTTCCTCTCCTTTCCCTTCCCTTTTCCCCAAAAGATGCATTCCATTTGCCTGATTGTGGAATCTACAAAATGCAGACCACAAGTTCAGCAAAATTCATCTTTTTAAGAGAACTGCAGCAAGGCTCCACTTTTCATATTCACACATACGATCAAAACAGACCAAACATAACTGCATCTGCACAGTGATCCTGGTGAACTGTAAGCCTAGGAGGAGGCATATGAGCAGATTTGCAAAAATACAGTATTGACTTCAGACCTCCTTTTTGCTAATGAGACTCTAAAATCAAGTTGTGATATGCAATAACGAGTGCTACATATTCTTTTCCATGTTCTTGTTCTCAATGGGCATGTATCTTATGGCCTGTACACACTAAATTGTAATGAATTATAAAATGGACAGCAACAGCCCTAAGACATGACAGTTTCTTGTTTTAATGGCTAATTTCAGGATGAACTCCTTAATAACACTAGTTATCTAAGGTGCTAAATATAATTTCATACTTTTAATTTCCTGTGATGTAAAATGTCAGGCTCATTTAAATTTCTTCTGATTTGTATTCCTCACCTCCCCCCAGGCAGCAGGTGGAGGCTCCACAGGTGGGTAATATTTGGGGACATCCCAAGCCACTGCAGCCATGAACCACTTGAAATCTTTACATTTCAGGTGCTTGCGAAGTTCCTTCTGGGCAGAGATGTCACCAGTTGAGAGGTGTCTGTACTCGGGCCGTCGCTGGTAGATGTACTCTGCAAACTCATCCATCCATGTCTCTGCCACACGCTTCAGGTTCTGTGCAGCAGAAAAAACACAAATACTGATTTTTTTCCATGCATTGACTGAAATTATATCCCTGATGGGGATAATTAAACAAACAAAAATTAATAGCCTATATATCTTGTAAGCTTAACAAGTCTAGTTTTTCATTCTTAACATATAGAAGAATACCAGTAAAGATATGCTACCTTCATTAAAGTGCAGAGTAGCCACTACATAATATTAAATATCCTGTTTTCCTGCTGACTTGGTAAAATAAAGTCTTTTCTCTGATGAACATATTTTACTCCCTGTTCTTTATGCATCTTCACGCAGGCTTTGATTAATGCTGGATGTTAAACAGATTTTCTTTCAGCTGCTCAGATTTGCATTTGTGCCTTTTCCTGTTAGCTTGCAACATACTAATGAATTAATAGTTCAAACTATTTCTTCTGTATCTCACTTCACATCTGAAAGGCATCTAAACCTTAGCCATCATATGGCTTCTTTGCCTTGTTTTCACATTTCCCCAGTCTTGGTTAACTTCTCTTCACCAAGCTGCATCCCATGTTGCCTCCTCAATTCTCTTTAGGGAGATTTTAGAAAATTCCCCTAGAGTTGAGGTCTAGTTGCCCTGCTCCCTTTCCCAAAATTACATCTCAATTCATGCCCACATTTTGGGTATGAATTACATGCTTATGCCCGCGGACAAGCAGTCACAACCTTATTGTGCTCCACCTCCTTTTTGGTTTGGAGCTTTGGACAGGAAGCTTTCCTGTACTACCATACCAGTAGATCTGCAAAAGCATAGCCCATAATCCTGGAGAGGAGTTGAGGCAAAGCAACTTAAGGGACAGGCATCCTGGGCTTTCTGCACTCATCCTGCAGACATAATCAAGGGCCATTTTTAAATTAATCCCAGTTCTGGCTTATGTCCCACAAAGTTTATTTTTGTTGACACTTTACAGGAAAGAAAACTACCAGTTTTCTTGTGCAAGAATTTGGCCAAAGTAATTAAATTAGCTTGCTGAAATTATAAAACAGAAAAGACTTGCAAGAAAAACTCCCAGGCAGGTAGGACTGAAAGAAGTAAGTTTTATTTTGTTTAGCATCATGGAGTCTAAGTAGCTGTGGGATAAGGGTGGGAATTTTCTCTATTTCTGTATGTTATTTTTCCACATGAATTTATATGCAGATGTTGAAGTGGAATACAGATTTAGTCTATTCTGTATTTCCACAGCAGCCCAATAACCTCTTATCTCACTAATAAAGCAACATCTTGCAGGATGACACTGACATGCTGAAGTATTCTTATTGCTTTGTTTGTAAAAACAAGATAATAAAATTTTGTAATATTCTTTTTATAGAACACTAACTGCAAAATGCTGAGATTTGCTCTGTAATAAGCTGGAGGACAATATGCATATGATTATCAGCAACATAAGGTAAAGCTTCCTCTCAGAACATCCTTTGCATATAAGTTAGCCTGATTCTTATTCTGATTTGCTCTTGAGATTAGTTTGAAAGATCCTTTCTTGAATTTTATTAACCTGCACAAACTAGAAGTCTTTGAATTAATAAGACTGATCTGAATATAAAGACAGCAAGATACAGAATGAACTTCTAGCTGAAATTGCAAGATAAGTTCCTAGGTGTTTTGTCTCTGTGAAGAAAATACATTAAAACCTGCAGGGGTAAAGCCAGCACAATTAAAGAAGTTTAAGAAATCACATCACTTCTATCCTTACACAGAAATGACTTATACCTCACATAAGATTGCATTTTATTGTAATTGAATAAAAACCTACATTTCTTTACAATATATTTGAATTCAAGAACATGTGAACTGGGTTGGACGAAGAAAGCCAGAATAAACTTAACAACACATAAAAAACCCACGGGTTTTATAGAAGACTGCAGGAATTTTCTACTGTTATTTGGACAATCTAAAAGAACAGCATTCTTCCCTAGATGATTGTAACTGAATGAGAAAGGAGTCAACAGACATGCTGCATATTATTATACTTGCTTATTAGCTCAAAATTCCCATTCACCCATTAAAATCTCTTTGTTTTTCAACAAATCCTTCCTTCCTCTTTCTCCCTTCCTTTCTTTCCTGTGATGGTGGGAACTTACCAAACTTGAGGAAAATACAGTTCTGCACACCACTCCCCAAGTATCAGGGAAGCTACTTTACCCATATATCATAGAATATCCTGAGTTAGAAGGAACCAACAGGGGTTCCTACTACCTAAGCTTCAAATCCAAAATTGAAAGTGATTTCCAAACACGCCTTAAACTCTGGCAGCTCAATACCATGCCCACTGCTCCATGGTGCAGAATCTTTCCATAATCCTCAGCCCAACATTTCCCTGACACAGCTCCATGCCATTCACTCAGGCCCTGGTGCTGCCACCAGAGAGCAGAGCTCAGTACTACTCCTCTGCGCCCCTTGTAAAGAAGGCACAGGCTGCCATGAGACCTCCCCTCCATCTCCTTTTCTCTAGGCTGAAAAAAACCAAGGGATCTCAGCAGCTCCGCACATGCCTTGACCTCCAGACCCTTCACTATCGTTGTAGCTATCTTTTGGATGCTAACAGTTTCATGTTCTTCTCACACACCGGTGCCAAAACCTGCACAAAGTGCTGGAGGTGAGGCTACACCAGTACAAAGCAGAGTGGGACAATCCTTTCTCTCATCTGGCTAGCAGTGTTGGATCTGGTGCATCCCAGGGTGCAGTGGGCTCCTTTGGCTTCCAAGGCACAGCGTTAACTCAAATTCAACTTGTCTTTAACCAGAACCCCTAGATCCCTTTCTGTGGGGGCTGATCTCCCACCTTCTGTCACCTAGTCTGTACAGCTCCATCCCAGATGCAGAATTCAGTGTTTGCTCTAATATGTCAAGATCTCTCCATAAGACCTCTCTACCTTTGAGGGAGCCAACAAATAGCTGCCTCTATTTCAGTGTTTGTAAGACCAGTATGCATACTTTATAATAAATATTATAAAGCATTGGATGATCAATAAGCATACAGAAAAGTCAGGTTTAGTAAGATTATCATGTTAGAAAGATAATAAAAAATAAATGGAAAGCGCTCACCAGTTTTGTAGGCTTACAATAAACCCCACAAGGAGCAACCTCCAGAAAGAGAGACCCGTCCTTAGTGGCAGTCAGTCCTTAAATGGGGGGTCTAGTAGAGGTGGAGCCAGGCTCCACCACTTCTGATCACTCAGGTGAATTGCCTTCACCTGTGCTCTCACAGCTGACTCAGTGCTCAATCCAGGTGGTCAATCAGAGGTTCAGGCCATGATCCAGCAGTTCCCCTACAGTGTTATTCACAACCGCACTTTGTGTGCTTTCACGTACACCTTTGAGTCTTGCAGCCAGCTCACTGATTAAAATGTTGAAGACAACTGGCCCTAAAATGGAGCTCTACACCATTCCACACCAATGACTAGCAACCAGCCTGATGTACCTCCATCTACTATAAACAATCCTTTGAGCCTGACCCATTAGCCAATTGTTCACCCAGTGCAATCTTCATTTGTCTAGCTGCATGCTGGACATTTTATGCAGAAGGATATTGTGAGAAAGAGTGCCAAAAGCTTTGCTGAAATTCAAAAATATTATATCAACCGCTCCCTTTGGTCATTTTGGTGGGTAACCTTGTCATAAAAGGAAAAAAAGTTCATAAACAGGCAACCCATGTTGCCTGATTAATGACTGTATTGTGCTTTTCAGTAGCTCCCAGAGTAATCTTCTCCATAATTTTACCAACCACTGAAGTGAGACTGACAGGATCTAAATCTATTTAAAACTGTGTTCCTTAGTTCTTCCAAAATCTATGCTTCTCTTCTATGCTAAAAATTTTCCACACCTTGGCAGATTCTATAAGGAAACTATACGTTCTTAGCATGTTTATACATTACCATCATTAGCTGAACCTGTATGAGGCAGCCCTTTGAATTTCAGTAAGTATCTTTTTAAAAATATAAACTCCTTATTTGCTAGCTCTAAACCTCCGGACTATTTAGGAACATGATTGTAAGCAGCCCTCCCCCTGAAGTAGTGGAAAGCTCTTTCTGAAGTTGGTTGTTACAAGAAGAAAGCATTCTGTATCCAAACACTTTAAAGAGGTTTGCTGTCTTCAGTTAACAAGAGATTCTGATCTTTATTTTCACTACAGAAACTCAGTAATCACAACATTTCACTTTAAAATAAACACGTACAGACCAGTAACAGAATCATCAAATAACAGTTAACCCCCATATTTAGATTGAATGAAGTCAGGTAGATCAAATTCTGTAAGCTAGCCCAGAGTAGCCTTACACAATCAAAGGCGAACATTATTCACATTTCTACTTACACTATAATAACTTATCGTGTCCTTGGAGATGAATGAGCTCTGCTGAGTTGAATATTGCAGTTCTGTGGCTGTCTAATATTGTGAGAAGTTGCCCTATGAGAAGAACCTCCTAGGAACACAACTTCTCCACACACATTTCAATGAGATTCTAGTTTCCTACTGACCTTACCAACAGAAAGGAAGCGGCTCACAACTGAAATATGAGAGAAGTCATCTTACTTTAAGGCTTACTTGTCAAGTGACATACTTGCAAGGAAGTGATTTCAAGTCCTTTATAAGTCTCTTCGAGAACTGATTTTCCCACTATCTGTGACAGACATTGTGGAGGAAGGAAGACTGTGTCATGTCCTCCTTGCCTGAGCCTTGAAATGAGGCTAGATACATTCTGGAGCATGTGCCCTTATTAAACTCCATAAATGAGAGGGAACAGATCTTGACAGAATATGAATTAAAGCAGGTGCCAAGCCATTTGACACTAGGAGAACTTCATAATGTATAAGACTTAAAAGCCTACGAGATCAGGTGGCATTTTGTAGATGCCTTACAGCACTCCAGTCTCACAGTAAGGTTAATCTACAAAGAATTTAAAATAAACAAAAGTTGGCTTGAATCTCTCAATTTCTAACTTTGATAATATTTGCATAATCTTCTACAGAAAAGAAGTCTTTTA